AGCTGCTGGAGAGAACCCAGAGAGGCTCCAGGATGGGCAGAGGGATGGAGCAGCTCTGCTGGGAGGAAAGGCTGGGAGAGCTGGGATTGTTCAGTCTGGAGAGGAGAAACTCTGGGGTGAGCTCATTGTGGTCTTGCAGGACCTGAAGGGAACCCACAGGAGAGATGGAGAGAGACTTGTTGCATGGGATGGAGTGACAGGACAGGGAAAATGGCTTTATATTGACAGAGAGCAGGGGTAGATGGGATGTTGTGAAGGGATTGTTCCCTGGGAGGGTGGGAAAGTTGCCCAGAGGAGCTGTGGCTGTCCCCTGGATCCCTGGCAGTGCCCAAGGCCAGCCTGGATGGGGTTTGGAGCATCCTGGGACAGTGAAAGGTGTCCCTGCCATGGTGGGGGATTGAAACGAAATAATCCTTAAGGTCCCTTCCAATCCAAACCATTGTGGGGTTCTATGATGTGCTTCTGCCTGAAGAACAAATTGGGACTATCAGCAGCCCATGTAGACCAGGTGCAGCTTTGGAAATCCCTCCGACAGGTACTGGTCCTTGGAATCTGCCCCTCTTTTGTTTGGCTCTTTGAGATCACCCACCTGGATCTCACCTCACTATTTCCAAGAGGGCTGGGCACTCCTGTCCATCCTCACACCTGGCTTGACCACCCAAAATTTTGCAGATTCTCTATTTGAACCCAGTTAGGAATGATCCTGTGCTGGTCTCCTCCACCATGCTGTTTTACCAGTTTGTTGACATGCCCACCAGGAAGGTGAGAAGGTTTTTTGCCTGTCCTTTCAGTTCTTGGATTGACCGCAAAGTGCTGCAGCATTCCCTCACCTTAGTTCTGACTGTTGGTTCCTACMAACCTCTGACAAAGGCCAAACAGCCTTTTTTTAATTTCTTTGTTTGCAGTCCTGCTGTCCATTGAAAGAAAGGACACCATAGATGTGTCAGGAAATTCCTTTGTTGTGCTGATGACAGCCTGGTTCTATCTTTAGCCTCATATTCTGGAATCACAAGGCCCAGCCTTCCCTTTATGAGAACACTTAGGACCCAGAGGAAGAACTTTCCTAGCAGCAAGTTGCTTGTTTCCACTCTCAAACGATRCTAATTGATTAACTCGAAGATACGACTTCTCCTTACAAGTCTTGCCTTACTCAGGSGAGGAAGAAAGCTGCCAAAAGCTAAATATAAACAAGGTGCAGTGGAAAATGCACATGTGCCCGCTGTGTGAGCRTGAAGTGATGTGTGCCTTCCTAAAGCAGAATGAGCTGCAGGTTAAGGGAGTTCACTGATGATGTCTGCCTTCCTAAAGCAGAACAAGATGCAGTTTAAGGGAGTTCACTGAGCAGGGGCAGGCTGTAAATCTATGCCCTGGTTTGTCCTGGTCACTAGGATGTGATGCCAGGCTGTATAGGATGTGATGCCAGGCTGTGAATCCATGCCCTGGTTTGTCCTGGTCAGTAGGATGTGATGCCAGGCTGTATAGGATGTGATGCCAGGCTGTGAATCCATACCCTGGTTTGTGCTGGTCACTAGGATGTGATGCCAGGCTGTGAATCCATACCCTGGTTTGTCCTGGTCACCAGGATGTGATGCCAGGCTGTGAATCCATATCCTGGTTTGTGCTGGTCACTAGGATGTGATGCCAGGGTGTATAGGATGTGATGCCAGGCTGTAAATCCATGCCCTGGTTTGTCCTGGTCAGTAGGATGTGATGCCAGGGTGTATAGGATGTGATGCCAGGCTGTAAATCCATACCCTGGTTTGTTCTGGTCACTAGGATGTGATGCCAGGCTGTAAATCCATACCCTGGTTTGTCCTGGTCATTAGGATGTGATGCCAGGCTGTGAATCCATGCCCTGGTTTGTGCTGATCACTAGGATGTGATGCCAGGCTGTATAGGATGTGATGCCAGGCTGTAAATCCATGCCCTGGTTTGTGCTGGTCACTAGGATGTGATGCCAGGCTGTCCTGGTGGGTGCTTGTGTGGCACAGGATGGCAGTGCCAGGTGAGCTGGCGGTTTTACCCCTCTGAACATCTCCCTGCAGTGTCAGTGATGCTTTGTGCTGCTCTGAGTACAGCTCTCAGGCAGCTTTGGCAGCAGAGCACAAATTCCTCTCTGTTCAGATGCTGCAGGAACCCGCAGGCTCTGTTGGAATTTTTACTGCAGGTGCTTGCAGGAACGTCTGACCTGAGGGCAGGTAAAACCTGTTCCCTTTTGCCATGCACACAACTCCCTGGCCTCCTCCCTGCTGTGTTACAAATCAGCTCTGMTGTCTAATCCTCATTCTTTTCTCTTCCCAGGACGGTGTAAGTGCTCTCTGAGAGGTTGCAGGGAGCCAGTGGCAAAAGGAGAAAGTTTTTTCTTATGGAGTCAGGATTTGATTGGAGCTTCCACAAATCTCCCACTTCTTGGGGCTTGGAGTCTCCTGTTGGAGTAACTCTTGTCAGCTTCACAGATTTGTTTGAGATATTTGCTTGATTTACTTATTTTTAGCCTTCTTTAGGGTTCTGTCCTCATTGCTAGCATTTAATCTCTCTGGTATATCACAAACATACTCTTCCAACTGTCAAATCCTTTACATTTCATACATTCTTCTGATTCGGAGTTGTGATCAGAGTTACCAGGATGGCTCAGTGTCCTGGCCATGCCATCTCCATCTCCATCATTCTCCTCAAAGTTTGATGTCATTCAGGTTTCCAAATGCCCTTCTCTGAACGCATAAACCCCACTGCTGTCTTCACACAGCAGGATCAGACAAAGGGAATTGTATAAATTGTGGCCAGTCTCAGGTGCCTTATGGGAACTTACCTGGGACTCTGAGGACTTTTGTTCCTTTGCCAGAGTAGGAATCTTCCTAACTCAGAACTTATCTATTCCAAGCAAATCACTGAACTTGACTTGAACATCCTCAGTCCTTTTTCTTCTAGTCTGGTACTCATTTGGATTTACCTGTGTCACATATGAGTGAGCAAAATCTRACCAGCAGTGTTTGCCTCTTATTCTAAATTTGTCTTTTTCCATTCCCTCACTGATTTTTGTGATCMTTTCAGCATCCTTGTGCAAGCTTAAATGCACCTTCCCTCCTTGCCTTCCCTTCTGCTTGCGTCAGGTTCTGGGTGTCATCCTTCAAACTTCTGYTTTCATCCATAAAAATTTCACTGAGCACTTTTTGTAGCATCTCTGCTTAATCCAAGCTTAGTTAGGCCGTGGAAAAGTCAACTTGTGGTGTTGGGTGTTAATTACATGATCAAACAACAATCTGACAGGAGACCACCCTGCTGTGACATCAGTTGTTTAAAAAGCTGRATTTTTTTTCTTTTAATGGCTGCGGTGGGCCATCATTTCAATACCAGTAAATATTTCTGATTGTGAGAACAAACTTCCTTTTATAGCCTCCCCACGCTGCTRTTTTCACTGAATCCAGCCTGGAGCYRGTTCCTATTTCTGAGTGTTCGCTCACACTCCGCAGCTCTGGGTGCAGCTCACGTGCTCTGTCTCTCTCTCTSTGTGTTTCTCTCTCAGCTTTTTTAGCCTTGTTGATCTATTTATTGTGGCTTTGGCCAGACGACGCCAGCTTTCAGCATTTTGGGGCTGGGAGAGAGAGCAGCAGCTTCCTGTGCCTGTGAGCCCATGATGTCATCGGCTGCTTTGGGTTCTTTCACCATCCCATGCTTCTGTGGATGTGGAAAGAATGTGAGCAGCRCTTTCCAGATGTTCTCAGGGCAGCTGGRAAGCCATAAATGGATTTTGTGGGTCGGGAATGTTGCTGGTGTGTTGGGGAGGTGGCTGTGCAAACACATGGCTGCTGTGTGGTGTATCCCAGAGGGTTGGTGGGATGTGAAATGAATTCACAGCTTATCCAGGAATTCAGCTGGGCAGGTGAAATATTTTTCTACCTGTTCTCCATTCCCTCTCTTCCATTCCTTCCTCCACCTTCAGCTCCTGAATGAAGCACAATATCCTGATCTCCTGCGAGGAAAATGCTTTCCGTGCAGTGCCTCCCAATCATTTCAATTGCTGAGGACTAAAGAAAAGAAAAATCATCTTGTATTTAGACTCCCAATAAAATATTTGGTGTAGCAGGAGCTGCTGAATGAAACAGGGTTGTTTCATGATGGTGCAGTATGGACTGGGAATTTGCAATCTCGTGCCTCTCCAGGGATCATCAGCTCTCCAAAAAAAAGTCTATTTTGGGGCAGAGCCGGTCACTTCCTTCTTTAGGGTGGGTGGGTGTTTTTAATGCATTAATTAATTTTTACTGTGTGGTGGAAAAACTGATGTCAGCATTGCGGTTGGGCGTGCAGGAGCACAAGGTGGGAGGAAATAATACAGAGAACACACGAGGGCAGGGAGAGTTTAACCATGGGCAGTTTAAAATAGCAAAGCTGAGCCCYGTGGATATTAAAAGCTGTGACTGAATCAAAACAACGGTCTAATATTAAACTGGATTTTGCTGGGGGATGAACAAACTCATTGGGTTAAATTTCTGTTGTTGTATCCGATGTCCAAGGGATTTTTTTTGGTCTCAACACCTGGATTTCTGACTTTGGGGTTGGCTATTTTTGGCTTTGCAGGACACAAACTACGAGGGGTGATATAGGTTGTGCTTCACTGGGTTTTTTTTTGCCAGGCATCTTTATTCAGGAGTCTGTAGAGCATCCTTTCCCTTTTACAGTGGTCTGTAAACTTGTCCAGCATGACTCCTTCCCTGGCTYCTCTCACAGTTCAGATTGCACAGATCCACAACAGGGAGGCAGAGGGAAATGCTTTGGAAATGGGARCCAAGACAGAGCACAGTTACATAATTGTACAAAAGAAAAGGGTTTTTTTTTGGTTTTGTTTTGYTTTTCCTTCCCATATCCTCCTACCTCCTGAAAAAAAAAAAAAATGCTGTTGGAAAGCTGGATGGAAAAAACTTCAGCATCGTTCATCCCTGTGGGGACATGAAATGTATTGAAATGTTCCACCTGTTTTATGGCTGTTGCTTTTCCTCTTTCAGGTTTGACATCTACAGGAAGGTGCCAAAAGACCTTACACAGCCAACCTACACAGGGGCCATTAGTAAGTAACTTCTTTTTGATGCCCTTGCATAGCCCTGGTCTCAAATTAAAGCTTGCTTGGCCTCTCTGCCTGCTGGGAATTTTTTTAAAGGGATATGAAGCATTGGAAAGGGTGGCCTTGGTTACTGAGACAGCTTGTTCTGCCCATCAAACAGTGGAATTGCTTGTGTGAATTCACARTTWYAGAATCACGGGATGGTTTGGGTTGAGGAGCCTCCAGTTCCAGGCACCGAGAGMGATCCACTCTCACTCCCAGGGATCACACACAGACTGAGGTGATACAGATCTCTTGCCTTGGGCCCCTTTTCCTTCCTTCCTGCTCCTGAGGGAGGCTGGAGGCTGAGTAAGGCTGTTTCACACAATTCTGTGGGGCAGAGAGAGCTCGGTGAGCTTGGATCAGGCTGAGCCTGCCAGGCCTGTCATTACCCTGCTCACGCTTTCCTGTCCCACTGAACGGACCTTTCCTTTGATCAGGGAGCTGTGCTCCATTCATCCATCCTGCTGGATGGGTCAGGAGCCTTGTGTGTCACTGCTGACGTGAGTGATGTCACATCCCGCGGTGACAGCGCGGGGCTGACTCAGTGCCACTGAATCAGGACACCAAGGAAAGCTCTCTGCCTGCTGAAGGAGCTCATCGAAATGAGGATGGCTGAAGAACAGGTTGCCCAGGGTGGTGTGGAGCCTTGGGGATGCTCAAAAAGCCTGCTCAGAGCASGGGGTTGGATGGGATGATCTCCAGACTGGTCCCTGCCAGCCTCAGCTATCCTGTGCTCCTGTGGAGATAACACATTTCCCCAAATATTTACTCTCAGAGTCCTTGTCCCCTGAGTTCTCCTGGCCACTGAATTCCTTGTGTCCTGACTCCCTTTAGGTTTGCTGAAGTTGTGAACAAAGGGTTTTTACTCAAACTGTTTGGGAATTCAGAGGCGGATGAGATTCGGTGTTTTGAAAGAACACTTTGAACTTGTGAGTGATCCTGCCATCTCTGCTGTTTTGGAAACTAAGAGTTCCCACACTGTAACCCGGCTCCCTCTGAGAATTCATCTTGTTATGAATCACCTGCAAAAGAGTATTTTAGAAGCAAAAAAAAACCAAAACCATCAAAGGCCATCCAGTTTAGGCTTTCTGATCTGCAGTAAACAGCTCCAGTGATAAGTCTGTTGTGGGAAGGCTTGAAAGGTTGTGACTCTTACTTACAATTACTAGCTGACTTATTTCTCTCTATTGTTATTTGCAGCTTCTCAGGCTTTGATTTTTCTTCTCTGACTGGTTCTCCTCCTTTTTTTCTCAAGAGTGTTTTTACACAGCCTGATAGAAGCTTTTGAACCACACAGGCAGCCTGTGAGGATTCTGTGAGCAGCTTTCCTAATGGGTTTTTCTGTCTGACCAAGCCTGTGGCTTGTAATTTGGAAAGCCACTAATCTCAGGTGTTGTAGGAGGCTGTGAGTGAGCCCAGCCCGTGGCCAGGCCACTTGGGAGCCTGGGAAGGCTGCAGGACCTTGTGATAAATGCTTCAGGGAAGTCAGCTTGGGTTAACACTGAGGGCTTGAGTGTAGGGGATGGTTCTGCCTCTCAAAAAATCTTTTAGTGTTTAGTAATTATGTGAATTTACTATAATTACAACTGTATTTTGGCTTTCTTTAAGTTCTCTGAGTTTTACAGAGCATATATAAATAGTCCATAATATCCAAGTATTAATTTAGGCCTTTTTTAATGATGTGATTTCTGCTGAAACCTTAGTTCAGTGTCACTTCTGGTGCTGRAGGCTTTCTGGAATAGGAATGGGTTTACTGCAGGATTTCAGCAGTGGGTTTTGGATTGTAACACGGGTCTTTTTTTCAAAAAAGTTTTTTTAAAGAAGAAAAGAGATGGAAGATAGCAGCTCTGCTCCTGACACCAGGGCTGAGGGGGCTAGGGCTCGTAGGGAAGAAGCAGCTGAGGAAGACTAAATGTTGGGGGGTTTTGGTCTCAAACACGAACAAGTTCAAAACATAACTGGAGTGTTATTGAGGCTGCATTAGGTATAGATTTTTAATTTCCAAATTTGCAGTGAACTCTGCCAATGAGATACTTCAGATCTGTGTAGCAGCCATTCAGCTGCAAAGTTTTTTTTAGGAATGAAGGAACCAACAACAATCCACTGCTTTTTACTTGGAGTGAGGTTTGTCCAGAACACACCCACTGCTGTGGCCTTCTCTGGGAAGGCTGCAGAAATCCCTCACTCCTTTTCCTCAATAAAATTCCTTGTTCACGCAGCATTCCTGTGCCCTCAGTCGTGCTGTTGTCCCTCTTCCAGCGGTTTTTGCCTCTCTTCCCACCCTGTGCAGCAGCTCTGTGGTGGCCTTGTGACAGAGTGGTGACAACCTGGCCATGTTTGGGTACAGAGGCAGCAGCAGTGGCACTCCTGGCAGGGTGACAGCTGGCATCTGGCTGGACAGGAGCACTGTGGCTCTGGAGAGCAGAGCTGCTGTCCCCATCCTGCTGGCCAGCCATGCCTGAGGATGCAGAGTTCGCTTGCACATGTTGTATGCACACATGGAAAAGTCAGCCAGAAATACTCTGGTGCTGTTTGGGGGCTGGAGATTTAAATACACATCAGGAAATATCCGAGTTATGATTCACCCGGCGCCTGTAACAGGACCCATTCCTTGTGCTTCGTAACAGTTTGCTCCTCTGAATAATAAATACTATTAATTTTATGCCTTAATATAGCCATGGCTCCACGTTCTCAGCCCGTGTGATGTGTTAAACACTTTGCCTTTCTCTCATTTCTCGCAGGGTGGGGAGGCAGAGCCAGGAATGTCCATAGACAGGATTTGGAGTTGGGGGATGTGCTCAAAAAGCGCAGGAATAAAAACCTTGGCAGAGTTCCCCATCCTTTTGGGATTGCAGATGAGGCAGCAGCAGTTTGTCTGCACCAGCAGCCTTTGATATATTGATCATGTTATCATGTCAGAGCTCTGAGAAACCCGTCTCAGGTGCTTGTTGGAGCTCTGTGGGAACCTCGCCGTGCTCTTGTAGTTGAGAGAAGCTTTAGGCATGAATTGTTTGATTCTGTCTGATCCCAGCCTTTAATCTACTTTTCCAAATATCATGCACTTGTCAAATGTGGGTGGTAGGGCTGCACATTTGCATGGGAGCAGGTAAAAGCYGTCACAGTGAGAGCAGCAGCTGAAGCACCCCGTGCATAAATTCCTGCGCTGGGAATGTCTCCTGTGCCTGCAGCTCCACGCTGAGAGAGGAGCTGCTGTTCTGCATCTGAGGAATTCTGCCTCTGGAGACAGAGTAACTGGGAATGCTGTCACAGGAATCTCACGCCAATGTGTGTGTGTAGGAAGGGTTTAACACAGGAGCAGCCACGGTCAGTGCAAGTGTGCATTGTCCTCTCACCTGCAGTGTCCAGCAGCAAATGCATGAGTAGGAGCAGGAGGGACAGGTTAAACATTTCACCAGGCTTCATTCAGTTGGTTTCTGACCTTCCTGAGCTGAGTTTCTTTGTGTTTAATTTCCCTCAATGGATTTTTTCCCCAGGGCATGTAGGAATCCTTTTTGTCATCTGACAGATTTTATTTCTTAAGCATCCTCAGCGTCCATAGTCAGGAATCTTCAGAATTTAGTAAATGTCATGTAAGGAAACCCTTCTCTTGTTTTTAACCTGCCCTTTCCCTGTTGTTCCCATTCTGGAGGAGAGTGGTTGTTCYCCATTCACCTCCTTGAGGCTGCTCATGATTTTATATCCCCCTCTCATGCCCACCCTCAGTAATCTCTTTGACAGCTTCAGAAGTGACTCTGTGGTTTGAAGACTGGGAAAAGCATTGAGGAGCTTTGAAAGTCAGTSCCTGCCAGGCCCTTCAGGGCATCCTTGCAAGATTTTTTAGATATAGGTTAGTAGAATTTTACTGTGCTGTATTTGGTGAGTATGGTCACGAACTTTCACTGCAAGAGCTGAACTGAAGATGGACTTAAGGGAGCAAGTACTGGAAAAGAAGATATTTTGATGATATAAGTGGCAGAGAAGAAAGTTTAAAAATTGGGATAGAGAGGAAGCTCTGGGAGAGAATTTAGTTAAGAGAGTTGGTAGTACCAGGCTTTCCTGGGAGTGCTGGAGAGCARAGAGGTCTGGCTGATGCTGTGGAAAGCCTTTATGGGATTATAACAAGCAGCAAGGAATTAAGGGAAGCAATTAAAGAAAAAAGGGTTGTCTGTGTCAAACGTTTCCCCCTGCAACTGCAGGGATCAGAGATCCCGTGTCTGTCTCGGTGATCAGCAGTAAAAATTCTGGATTTGCTCATCCCCTGCCTTGGTTTATTTTTTTTTTTTGGCTCTTAGGTAGGTGTGGATGTTCTCATCTGCTGCAGGCAGACCTTTCTCCTGCCCCAGCCCCTGGTACCAGGGGCTCATCTGGGTCACAGCCCTGGTGATCTTCTGTGTCCTCACATCCAACACTTGGGAGCAGCTGTGTGACCATCTGAGCTTTCTCTGTAGAAATTAATATCCCTTCTTGCTTCCTGTTTTCCTACTGGTCTTCAATTTTTTTCCTAGCTAATGGATTTTTTGGCATCTCTGTTAATCCCTTGCACTTTAGAGAGGGTCAGTAAATGAATCCACTTCCACACTTSAAATTGTCCTGATGAGGAAGGGGAAGCAATGCATTTCTCTTTGCTCAGAGCTGATTTGAAGAATGATGCATGAGGCTTTAGATCACTCAGCACATCTTTCCTTCCTCTGCCCCTCAGCTTCTCTACTGAGAGAGTTTGGATTGGGGCTGCTGTTTGATAAAATTGTTTAAAATTGTTCCCCGCCTGTTGTAGCTTGAGCTTCCCAAAGGAATGAGGAGTCAGGCTGTACAGGTCGTGTGGAATCAAGTTGAGGAACTGGGCTATTTTTTTTTTAATGTATTTCTTACCCTGAATTGGTGTCTCTGATGGAGTGGGCATTGCACAGAGAGCTGGGCTGGGCTGGAGGGGCTGTGCTGGGATTGTGCTTTGGCTGTCAGTTCTTGCTGTACCTTCTGTGAGTGATTCTGGGCGAGCTGGGGTGTTGTATTTAACACAGAGACACTGCATCCCTGTCTCCTTGAGCTGGCACATCTCTGTCTGCTCAAATCATCCCTGATCCATCGGATTTTCAGCTGTGCTTCCTCCCAGCCCCTCTATGGGGTGACTGTCACTGCTGCCTGCATGACCTGGTCAAGGGTTTGAATAATTTCCTGGAGAAGAGTAAACAGAGTGAACAGTAACATTCCAGTCACTTTGGATTCCCTCCTTGAAACTCCAGGTTGGAATTCTTAGGAAAAATGTGGGGCTTCTTGTTGAGTGCCTCACAATTCCCTCGGTGGGAATTTTCCCTCTCTGAACAGTCAGTATGTCAGCAAAGGGAGAAATTGTGAGAAGTCAGGGTGCTCTACTCCAATATTGCCATGTCTGCTTCCCCAGCTCCAGGAGTCTGGGCTGGGAGGTGACCTACACAGAGCTTTGGGACTTGAAAAAGCATCAAAATGTGCCCACATCCCCAAAACACCGTGCTGGGGGGCTCTGTGCTTTCCAAGCAAGGAGGTGCTGCTTCTTTTTGCCTTCTTGAAGTTTTAATAGTAATAAAATTGTGAGCCAAGGCTCAGAGAAGTCCTGTTGTCCAGCAGTTGTGTCAAGAGCAGGGAGTGCTGGCACACCAGTGTTGTGTCTGGAGATGGAGATGGAAATCATGGTAGAAAAAGTGGTGTAAAAATGARGAAACCCCTCAGGATGTTTGGGTGTTGGTGTGGCAGTGAAGTCATTGCTCTGGTGGGCTCCTCTGGGTCATGGGCTCTAAAGAATTTTGGTTCCCAAGTGTTTCTGGGTGCTGTATCCATGGGGGGATTAATTTTCCTGTGTGAAAAGCATTTTTTCCTTTGTCAGACATACAAAACTAACCTTTTCCTCTGCTTACCTCTGTTCCAGTCTCTGTCTGCTGCTGTCTCTTCATATTGTTTCTCTTCCTGTCTGAGCTCACCGGATTCATAGCCACTGAAATGTAAGTAAAAGTCGTGTTTTCCCTTGTTTGTGTGGATGGGAATCTTTACAGCTTTGCTGTTATCTGGCAGAAATATTCCTGCCATTTCACTAGGTCACTTGGTTGCCTAATGGGTTTGGGATTCCTTTTTGTTGAGTCCCAAATTCTCAGACATCCATTCAGCTTTTTTAATTTGCTGAAATTAATAGGCAAACTTGGTTTTCAACTATTTCTGATCCAGGAAGCTGTTCCAGACCTGCTTGATCCTTTATTAGCTGCATGCTGGGTTGCATAATTAGCTGCACAGAAAAATGAATTGCATAAAATAAKAATTATTAGTTTAATATCAACAATTCCTTTTCTATATAATGTCAGAGCTCAATCTCTGATTCACAAGCAGCTTTGTTAATGTGTCAATTTTTTCTTCTTCTGTTGAGCATTACTAGGAGGCCTCGTAGACAGGTTTTGTGCCTGAGGACAAATATCCCCAGGTGGTGACAGCTTTGAGAAAAATGGAAATAACTTCTGCTTTTAAAAATTGCTCATTGAACAAGCATGAAGTATTTGTTAACACTGAATTAATCATATTTTTATTTTTTCTCCCTGCCTCAGAGTAAACTTTTAGTAACCATTAACACATTCTACCTTTGTTTTGGGCTCTAGGAAACATTCTCCATCACCCTGCTGATGTGGCAGTGAGCTCACTGAGTGTGAGGCACAGTTCCTGGATAGTTGGGGAGGGTGGAACTKCTGTCATTCTCACATGATGCTCCTGATAGCAACAGATGTCAGAGCAAAAAAGCTCTGAAACCTCGGCCCCCATGCCTGATCAGATTGACCATTCTGATAACCAAGAGGCTCTTGCATTGTTTTTGTGCAGCTTTGTCAAGAATATTCATTTCAGGAATCATTTTAACACTGGCTAATGTTTAACTGGAGGCAGGAGTGTAATSGAGCTCTGGATGGTTTTTTGTGCCTCAGAGATGGTATCTCAGCTTTCTGACTTGCTCATGGTTTCTTTGAATTCAGTTCCGTGTGTTTGCTTGTGAAATCCGGGGTCACTTTGGCAGCCACTGARCTGAGTTTCCTTGGGTTTCTTGTTTTAAAAAACAGAGAAAAGCTGGACATTGCTTCAAGTAAAACTGCTTTTTCTTGGCTTTCCTCTTAGGTCTCATTCTCTTGCCTGGTTTTCCTTTCAGTTAATGCTTTACTGGAGGAATCAGTAATACTCACAAATCAGTAATCACTCACCCAGTTTTGATGCAGTTGTTTGGGTGCACATGTAGTGGCAGCTTCCTGGCTACAAATTCCTTTTTGAACAGCACAATTGCATAATTCTCTGAGGCCTCTTCYTGCTTTTTCCTTGACAAGATGATGCATTTTCCACAAAAAAAATACTAGGAAGTGCTGTAAGCACATTCAGCTGACCAGTTCCTCATGAAAAACCTCAGAGAGATGGTGAGTGCCTTTCCCAGCAGGAGCTGCGTGGGGAGGAGGTGTTTGCAGGCAATAAAGCAGTAAAATCGTGGAGAGGATGTCATGGAAGAGTGTGGGACAAATGACTGCAGGAACCTGATTCGTCAYGGGCTGTCCAACACAAAAGCTCACACAATAGGGGAGGAAAACCTCCTTGTGATGAGTTACAGCTCATCACACTCTTGCTGGGAACACTCACCCCCAGCAGCTGTGAAAAGGCTCCCCCAGAACAGTGGAAATACTTCAAAAAGTCRCTTCAAGTGCTTCCCAGTTCAGCAGCTTTGAAAGTAGGAGTAAACTTTTTCTTTTTCCGTCTCTTACTCATGGGTTTCTCTTCTGAGAAGCGCAGTACAAGTTGTTGTGAGCCTCTTGTGGTTCCTTTCAGTCAGGTGTTACTGGCAGTGAGGCAGCAGAGTCTCCTCTTTGGGAATAAGAAGTGGGAGCTTGGTGTGGTCTGGAACATCTGAGAGCTCTGTGCCACCATTAAAATGGGTAACAGCAAATTACACGGGTGATATTGTCTCAYAAAGGTTTTTGAGCCTTGTTTGCCCGTGATTCAAATTCTTACAAARATATGGAAGATTCCTTATGTGCAAACTGTCCAGTTCTCATCAGTTTTCACTGCAAGCTTTGTGGGTTTTTTTTGTATTTAGAGTCTCCACAACAGATATCTCACCCAGAGTGAAGTTTCCCAGTGCCAGGCAGGACCTGGGTGATGAACAGCAGTGTGCAGTTACACGGGATGAACTTTGCCAGCTGTGCTGTGAAACTCCATCACTCTTCCTCCTCCTGTGCCTCATTTCCCTTAGAACCCTGGACAGAGGTTGAGTGGGGAGAGCTGCATGTTTTTGATGGCCAGGTGAAACCAGAGCGCTTGGCCTGGTGTTTTCCATCAGAGACAGGGCAGTTCTGATGCATTAAACAGGGTTTACTTGAAACAGAGGCCAGAAAAAGTTAGGAGAATAAAGCAGACACATTTAATCCAGGCCTACTGGTACATTGAGGGCATACACCCAAAATGGACTCTTAGTCACGAAATCTTCACCTTTTATAAGTTCTGTATTTTAACATATCAGGCCCCAATTCTCCAATTCCACCTTCAAGTGATGAAGGCACCCACCCTAAGCTGCTCCCCTCAAGTCTCTGTTGTTTCCAGAATTTAGGGCCCTGAGCAGTGAGGTGTCCTTGAGTTTGGGGCCTGGARAGGAATTGTTTTGTCTAAAATGGGAGGACAGGAGAAGTACAAAGATACAGATACATGAAAAATATAGAAACTAAAACCCTAAGGCATCAGTTCCCTGCCCTGTCCCACGGAGGGTCTGTGTGTGGGGTGTGTGCAGGACCAGCTCCTGCAGGGCTCGACCGCAGTGCCCATGGGGTTATCTGTCTGACTGTCCTAAGCCTAACCCTAAACTTAATCCTGCTCCTAATCCTAACCACTGACAGGTTCCTTTGGAGCTGCATTTACAGCTTTACAGAGAGGTTGCCATGGTTTGTTGAGCTCGTGCTGCAATGAGCAAAGAAGGTTTGCTGTGCACTGCACTCACCCCAAATCCTCTCTGCCTCCTATTCTCCATGCTCACCCCAAATCCTCTCTGCTTCCTGTGCACTGCGCTCACCCCAAATCCTCACTTCCTCCTGTTCTCCCCACTCACCCCAAATCCTCACTTCCTCCTGTTCTCCACACTCACCCCAAATCCTCTCTGCCTCCCATTCTCCACGCTCACCCCAAATCCTCACTTCCTCCTGTTCTCCACGCTCACCCCAAATCCTCTGGGGTGTTCTCCAGGCTCACCCCAAATCCTTGCTCCTCCTGCCCACTCTGCTCTTCCCTCTCCATCCCCACGAATTCAGCAGCCTCAGTGCCAGGTGTCACTGGAAATCTCCGTTTGGTCACTCTTGCCCAACTCCAGAGCTGTTTTTCCTTGCCCAGCCCCGTGYTCGTAGCATTTACAGTCTCAGCTGCTGAAGGCTGGTCTGGGTGGCAGGAAGCCAAGAAATGACAGCCTGATCTCGAGGATCACAGTCACAGCACTGAAGCCAAACATCACCTGAGTGGGGAGGACAGCAGCTGTGTCATAACTCGTGTGGGCATTTCTGGTGARCACCGAGGTTGTGTCTGGGCACCCAAGGTAGGGATTCAAACCAAGACACTCAGGAAGCTCCTGGAAGAGGTCACACACTCCAAAGGCACATCCTGTGCTGCTGATGATGGGTTTCCTGACGAGACCAGCCCTGAGGAGGGTAGAAAAATCCCAAGCTGTTCATCTTCCAGATTTATTGTGTGATTCCAGCAGGTCGTGAGCAGCCATGAAGGAAATCCAAGCTTGGCACTTAGGTGGGGCTGCATCCTTCCCAGGAAAAGCACAGTGAAGGGCTGGTGAGGGAAGAGGGTTTTTTCATTTTCTCAGTCATAACCCATCATTTCTGTAAAGGGAAAGTTGAGTTTAACTCTAGAACTCGAGAATGTTTTGATTTTGAGGGTTTTTTTCAGTCCAGACTCAGAGTCTGWCTTAGRCTTAGTCCAAACTTCAGGCMCAGGAATGTCCCCATCCCYGGAGGGGTCCAAGGARCACTTGGATGTGGCACTCTGTGCTCTGGATTTGGTGACAAAGTGGGAATTGGGCACAGCTTGGACTCGATCTTGGAGGTCTTTTCCAACCTCAGTGATTTCATACCAAGAACCTTGATGAATCTCCTCAATTCTGTAAAAGACAGCGAAAAGGAGATTTCTGCTCCACATTTGAACCTCTGAAAAATGAACAGCATCACTTTCATCCCACTGAGCCAATGACTCAAGTGGCTGAAGAAATGAAGGTAAAGACTTAAATGTGTCTGGTGTTTCTTAGGCAAGATCAGTGATACCTTGAAGTGATCTGAGGGCTGGAAATATCTTGTCCTGCCTTCAGCATCCTCCTGACTGCTGCTGCTGCTGTGTTGCACAGAAATCACCCATCTCATTTCTAATTAACTCCGATCAGCGCTAGACGGTAATAGCTGGCAAGATGATAATCACGCCGTTTTATCACCGTAATTAGGTCATGAATTATGTCCTGTAAGATCAATAATAGTTTTCCAAGTATTCCATCATTAAGGATTAAAGATGTAATTAACTAATCTAGTCTGCCTTGCCTTGGCAGCCAGGGGAAGGGGTAGGAGGGGATGGATGTGGTGCTTGTGGTATGAATGTTGCTGCTCAACACTAATTTATCTGCCATAGAAGAAGCAACAAACTGTTCCTGGCAGTGTTTCATTTTTCTTTCCTTTTTTTTTTTAATGTAGTAACAGACCCAGAACTATCTGAAGTGACAAGTTTGCTAATTGGAAGGCTGTGCCCCCCCTGTATGTCAGTTAATTACTGAAGGAGAGTATCTGCAATAAAATGACTGCCTTGGCATGAAAGCATAATCACAAATCAGAGAATCACGGAATATCCTGAGCTGGGAGGGAGACCCACCAGGATGATCAGAGCCCAATTCCTGCTCTTACACAGGACAGCCCCAAGAAGGCTCTCAGGAGTGTGGGAGGACGCAAAACTCTTTGAGTTTCATTGCCCAGCGTTCCCTGTCCACACTGGATTCATTTACACACCCAGGACTGATCCTGTGGAGCAGCAGAATTGTCACCAGACCTGTCTTCAAGAGGCTTTTTGTCCCGTAGCTCTCCCAAAGCGTGTGGGATGTGTTTCGTGGCTCTCAGCCCATGGAAAGTGTAACCAGCAGAGTGGGATCCTGCTCCAGCAGGGGTTTCTTCTGCTGCAMACCATAATCAGGGAGCACAAACCCACAGATGCCACAGTTTTGTTTTCTCACACGATGCTGGAGATGCACCATCCAGTTGAGGCAGATAAAACCAGCCCAGCACGGGCAGCACAGCCAGCAAAGGGCAGCAGGAATTGTAATCCTGCCCTTGGCACGGGCTGACCTCGAGCCAGACACTTTTCTGCACAAGGATGTAATCCCTGGCAGCCCTGAGAGGGGTGGGCAGGTAAGGAGCTTAATGAATGTTTGTGTGGCAGCTCAGGGATGAGCCAAGGAGAGCTGTCACCCGTCGGAGCGGGTGCTGTGCCCTGTGTGGGCTCGCAGGAAGAGGAAGGTCCTGYCGTGATGTCATTTGCAATTCCTGACTCAGGTCTGCACTGACGTCTTTGGAGCCCTTCTGCTTCTTCCTGTGTCCTGGAGAGCTGGAATTGCTGCCTTTTGTAGGGCAGTGTGTTTGCTGTGCTGGGACAGGGATCTGTGCAGGGCTGCTGGAGATGCAGGAGGTGACAAATGGCAGGGCAGGAGTTTGTGACACAGTTTGTGACACAGCAGAGAGTTTGCTGAGCTTCTGTTGTTTCCTCACCCAAAGTGAGGAGGAGATTTGTCGGATGTTGGGGCTTCTCTGGTCTGAAAATGTGGTTGTGCAGCAATCTCAGCTTTGGAGGTTTCTGGAARGTGGTTTATTGGAGCACAGAGAGCTCACCTGAGAATGGCTGTTGAGAAGCTTCAGGCTTCCTCAAGAAAGAATAATTATTTTCCCCCTTAGGCAGAGAGTCCTGGGGTGCAGAGGATACCTCCTGGGAGTGTAAGGACAAGGTAAAATGCAGCTTTCTGCARTAAGTGGTTGTGTTTTCTCTGTGGCTGATGACTGTCGAGGAGGCTGCCTGGTCGCTTGCTGTGAAAGAGGAAAAAAAAAAAGCTAAAACTGAGGCAGAGATTTAGAACAAGAAGGACTGAAGACAAAGATGTATTTAGGGAGCACCCATGTATGTGAAGCGCTGGAAGGTGGGTGCAGTGCCCACCCTTACATCCAAAGATCTGCAGGCTCTTCAGCTGTTGAGGTGCTGAAGCATCCAAACTCACTGGCCAAGGCTGCTGGTGGAAAAAAACTTACTGGGGAAGTTTTGTTTCTGGGGAAACAAAGATGTTGTGCCATAAATCCAAGCCCTAGAGCGCAGGGAGCGGGTCTGACTTTGTTTGGGTAAAAGGCTGAAGCTTTGCYGTGCCCTCTGGCTGCTGTGGCCCCCTTCCCCTGGCTCCACGTGCCATTGCTCTGATGGCTCCATCCCTCCAGCAGCATCGCTCAGGAATGTGAAATATTTCCAAGTGGCTCTTTCTAGAAGTGAAGCAGATTCCTGATGTGTGGATCACAGAGAAACTTCCCTGCTGTTCCTGGGGTCAGTGGTGGGAGGCTCTTGGGGTGAGAGGTCCTGCTCTCACCTCTTGTGTCACCCTCGTTGAGCTTCCAGACCTCTGCACCCTCGTTCCTGATGGATCATTCTGCTTTTATTCAAATATTCCTTAGCAGCAGCCTGGAAAACACCCAATTCCTACGTGTTTGGGGTGTTTGGAGGAGGTACACAATATGAACCAGTATCAGCCAATATCAGTCTCTGTCTGCCTGGGCTGGGGTTTGATTTCCCTTGTGACCATCCCAGATTTACTGTTGAAGCATTATTGCTCCTGGGACACCTTATATTTCAGGAGGGACAGGTATGGATTAGAGCCACCTTCATTTCTTCCACCAGAGATGGTGTTCCTTTGGGGAGAGTGGCTGGAGGGGGTTCAGGGTGCTTTTCCTGACATCCCAGGGCAGTCTGATCAAACAGGGGGAAGGCTCTCTGCAATTTCACGGTCCTGGGGAGGAGGATGCCAAGGGACGAGTGAGTGCCAGCCCTGTGCCAGCTCCATCCTGACCCAGTGGTTCACTGGAAGGAATAGCCTTGACCCTGGAAGTTTGCATTACCTGTGAGGTTTCCAGAATTCCAATATTCGAGATATTTGGGCAGTGAAATGTCCAGTTTGCTGAAAACAACGTTTTTTCTGAGGTTTGCCCTGACAAGTGCAGCTGTGGTGTGTTGTCACTGTGCCCTTGGTTCCCATCAGTGAGAGRGAACCCAGGGACACACAAAGGAGGCATTTTTGAGTGGATTTGTCCCTTTGGGCTCTCAGCAGGGTCTGACTGTGCCTGGGGAGGCAGAGGCTGGAGCTGGAGGGAGAAGCAGAACCCAGGGGTGGGTGCTCCATGGATGGTGACGCTGTGGTTTGGAGGCAGGGGAAGGAGAGGATGGATCAGCTGTCTGTGGAGTGATAGAGTGGGTTATGAAATTTGGACCRTGAGTAGGAGAGGGGCAGGGGGCTACTRGGTGAAGAGGAGGAGGAGGAGGAAGTGGCCACAGCCTTGCCCAAGGGACAGCTTGGCAGCCACTGCTCCAGTGACCGGCCTGCGGGACAGGAAACCAGTTTCCTTTATCTGCAGCTAATGGGCTGTGTGACCTGGACAAACTGCCCTACTTCTCCGTGCCTCAGTGACCTCAGCTCTTGCCTGCCCATGTCAGAGCTCTCTCAGTCTTCCTGTGCCCTGCTCATCCTCTGATTCCTGCTGGCCATCACCTCCTGCTCGCCCATCGCTGAGAGCTCTGCTGCCRGAGCTGCGCAGTTCCTGACCAGCTCCGGGTTAGAAATCACTGACTCCAAACACTGACCTTGCTGGGGCTTTTCTCCAGAGAGCTGGGAAGCTGCTGGAGCTGKCTCTGCTGTGCCAGCCCCGCTGGGAACGCTCCTGTCACCAGAACACCGAGGTGCGGGTGGCACTGGCTGGGCATGGCCAGCATCTCACACTGGCACCAAGCCAGGGCTTATGAAATGGGCTGGCTGGCAACTGGGATAGCGATGGGAGGACTGGGGAGCACCCAGAGGTGCGTTGCTCTGGGGGATTAATGCCTGTGCTGGCTGGAGCTGCTCCTCCCGGCCCTATTTGGACATATGACTTAATCCCCATACTGTCAGTAATGAACACGTCGAGGGGAGAATGCATTCCACCCAGGACGAGAGGGCTCGGCCAAAAAGCTCCTAACTAGGTCACTGATGAGCAATCTTTCCCCTCCCTCTGTGTCATTTTTATTAATCACTTGAAAAATAGGTTGAGTAATGATTGCGAGCAACTTGTCAAGCCAATTAAAAACAGAGAAAGGTAGGGCTGTGAAGCCGAAGACAAATGCTGTGCTGGTTTGAAATGAGTGTCTGTAAACCCCACTGACCCGTGAGTAATTGCCACCCAAAAACCTGGCAGCGTGTGTTTCTCGGTGTGAGGGTTTGTTYCTTCACTGTGTTGTACCAGCAGAGCAAAATCACTTTGAATCTGCCTCGTACCTGCCTTGGTCTGGTTGGACTGTGAGCRTGTGGACTCTCCAGAGGGGCTTGTCAAAGAGTTTTGTGCCTTTTGAGTGTAAAATAAAAATTCTACAGAGCACTTAGTAATTTTATTTTATGTAGTTGGGCTGAATCTTAAGTTCTCATGGCTATATAATCTGTCCAACTGGAAGATAAATTATTAAATCTTCTAGTTTGTAGGACAGGGAAAAGAGCTGCTACGTAATCTCACCATCATCTCAGTTCCATGGGGTGAGTTTCTCTGGGGTGGATTCTCTAGGGAGAAATTATCAACAAATTCAGCACTGGCGACTGGGGTTTTTTTGGTTCATTTTTTTTTTTACGTGTCGGATGGATCGTATGTGCCAACAATAAATATTTATATTCCTGTGTTCCTTTGACTCTTTCTCTGTGTTTTGTCTCCTGTGAGATCCGTGCCAGCACTGTGGGTGCAATGAGACAACGTGACTTTTTGGGAGGCTGGGGTAGAGTGTGTGAGATCCTGCTGTCCAGGATGTTTCTTCCCATCTGTTCCTGGCTCAAATCCTCTTCTCCTCAATTTTAGTCACTGCCTTTGGTTGCCATTCATAGGTTGAAATGTGATCTTGAGGAGAAGGGTACAAATACATCGTGCTGCTTTCCTCCTCTTGCTGCTGCTCTGTCAGCTGGGTGGCAATAACAAAAGGCAATTAGTGACACAAATAAAGCTTTCCTGGGGGGGAGTTGAGAGCAGCCTTTCTCTAGAACTATTTATGGAACAAATGGAAAAGCACATGCTTCCCTCCTTGCTAAAATGAGTGGAGCCCAAGGGAGAGGAGGGTTAGCTCACTAACCTGCCTCCTCTTCTCACTGGAGTTTTGTTTTGTAGCACCTCTGGAAGCTCAGGCTGGAGAAGGCCATAGGAAGCACAGAGCAGTTTTGTTTTGTTCCAAGCCTTCTGCACTCGCCAAGCAAGAAATCAAATTAAGCCACAATTTGCCCCYGTTCCATCCTGGAAGCTTTCCCTGCTCCCTGTAACTCCGCTGTAGCCATCACACAATCAAAACCCCCCTTTCCAGTCCCTTTTTTCCCCTCCCCATGTGAGCTATGAGTTTTTCCCTGTGCCTGAGCCCTCCTGTGTTCTCTGCCCTGCAGAGTTAATGARCTCTACGTGGATGACCCAGACAAAGACAGCGGAGGCAAAATAGAAGTGAACCTGAACATCAGTTTGCCAAACCTGCACTGTGAATGTGAGTTCCCCTTCACTCAGCACTTGTTCTTTGTGTTTTCWGTAATGTTTGAAATGGGCTCAGGCTGGTATAGAGGCCCTTCTTCTGTATCAGGATGGAAATCAAGTGGCTGCACCTCTGCCAATATCCCATTGCTCTGTTCCAGGCCAGAGCATCTGTTTTTTTTTGATTATGTGCTTTCTCTGCAGCCCATGTTAGGGGCTGATCTCCCTCACTGGCTTCTTCCTAAATTCCCTTTTTTTTTTTTTCATTTATTACCAACCTTTTTGTGTCTGGGAGCAAGAAGGCACCCAAGTTCTATTCAGAGCTCTGAATGCACCAGCTGCCTGTTGGCTCTTCCCAAGTCACCTGCCTCATCTGTCTGACATTTTTCTGTCTTTTTTGTGTGATTGGGATTGCAGTCAGCTGGCAACATGGGAGGTGTATTTGTGTGAAATAAACAGCGTGAGAAGTTTCATTATGAAGTTTGTTTCATTATAAAGTTTTTCTCGTATTTGACAAAGGACATTATTCGCTCAGTTTAGTCAAATATCAGGAAAAAAGGGGTGGATTTTTTTCCAAGTAAAAGCAGTGTGTGCTTTTTCTGTGCAACCTTCCTGTACTTTATTTTGATTTTTTTTTTGTTTATTTTCTCCCTTCCACCCTTGCAGTGGTTGGACTAGACATCCAGGATGAAATGGGAAGGCACGAAGTGGGTCACATTGACAACTCAATGAAAATTCCTCTCAGCAACGGGGATGGCTGCAGGTTTGAGGGCCATTTCAGCATCAACAAGGTGAGTGCCAGTGACAGGGGTTGTGGATGGGGGAATTCTGGCAGGATCCATGTGTAAAATGCTCTTGAAAATSTGTGTGTGACTGCCTCCCTTGCAGCATCTGTTCATGTCCCTGATCAGGGGGAAATTGGGGAGAGAAGTGTGGGTCTGTCTGTGTGGAATGTTTTAGATCAGGGGTTTTCTTCACTCTCCAAAGCAGGAAATGGAGACAGAGCTGCTGAACAGAGAGAGCAGCTCTGTGGAGTGTCCCGTGCAGCCTTTCAGAGCAGCAGCCCCATGTTCAGGGGATGTGTGAAAACCCCACAGATGCCAAACRGCTTCTGTGTTTACTCCTCACGACTTTTGCACCTCCAGAATGTGACTCACTGTGGAGAGCTCTTTGGCAAAGGCTGCATCCCAGCTCTCCTTTGTTCTGAGAGCTGCAGAATGACAGGAATGTTCCCTGCTGGAGGGTGCCAGCAGCTCCGTGCTGGGGTGTTGGAATAAGGCACGAGGAGCCGCGCATGCTTYGTGATGATGCTCTGCTTCTGTCTCAAGGAATGAAAATCCAGGCCTGGAGGAGGCTCCTCTTTGGGATGGRTGTGTGCAGGATTGAATAATCTTGCTATGTAATGCTGGAGATGACTTGCTGGGGTGGGGGAGGCACTGGTGGGACCCACTGATGTCCTAAGAAGGGCACACCCTTTATTCACTGCTCTTGGTGTACCACAGGCTACAAAATCCTACTTCCTTCTTGTCCTCCCGGGTCATGTTAAAGCACATCTAAAAATAACAGGCACAAATGATTCTGTGCCATGGGAAGGGTTAGGGATTTAAAAGAGGACTTTTCTTTCCTCATCTCTGAGCCACCAGGRTTGCTGGGAGATTGTCCATGGAACTGGGAAGGGGATTCTGGAAAGATGGTTCTTGTTCAGACAATTCCCAAGGCACAGAGCTGAGATCCTGGGGATTTGCTGGGTGTGGTGTGTCCTGCTCACCAAAGCAGCTCCAAAATGGGGTGCAGAATGTGGCAGTGAGGAGCTTCCCCCACTAAATTTGTGTCTCATTTGGTGGCTGGCACAGGGAGGGGAGCTGACCCAGGGTTTCTGTCTCTGGAAAACTGAACCTCTTGAGTGTGACCTGCAAATCTGCATTGCTTGGCAGGAATTGGACAGGCATCTGTGTGAGCTGGGAGCTGGAATGGGAGCTGGCCAGGCCTGGAAACCTGACCAAGGCTGGCATTGGGTGTTGCTGTCAGAGGGAGGGAGGACAAGGTGACAGCGAGATGATGGCTGTGAGCTTGCTGCAGGGCCTGACGCCCTGTTTGCTCAGCCTGGTTATGACACAGCTCGTGTCCACACCTGAAAGTGCTCCCAGGAGTGCWCTGCTGTTCCTCAAGTCATTAAATCAGCTTTCCTGAAAGCACATGGAGCRGGCATGTGGCCTCCTGTGGCCCTGCAGCCGAGGTGGCTGTGCAGAGAGCACAGCTGGGCACTCATTGTATAACCAAACACCCTCCCACTCCTGTCCTGGGCTGTGCCACATTGCTCCCCAGCATTGCTTCATTTCACAACCTTTTCTCAATAGGAAAATATTCTCCATAACAGTGATTGAGCTGTAGCTGCTGAAATACTACAGGGCTGGTGGCCTGAAAAGTGTGAGCAYGCAGAGTGGTCCCATCAGAGAGACATCAGTGCTCCTTTTCTGCCTTGGAACTCAGTCCTTAAGTGAAACTTGTGTTTTACAGAGCTTTGTATTCACCTCCATTAAAAAAATTAAAAGGAAGGGCTCCTGCTTGCTCCTGCCAGGTAGAGAATGGGAAGATCTCAGTTTGTATGGGATGCCCACTTGGGTTTGGTGGTGTTTTTTTTTCTCTTTATACAAAACTCACTCTTGCACACGATCTCAAGAAGAATATCCCCACACCTTCCTGGGCTGTTCTGCAGCAGTGGGCCTGTTTGCAAATGCAAGATGTGGGAGTAAAACATTGAGCAAGAGAGATGGGGATTTTATTTTAATGGAGATGAAAGATATAGCCTAAAGTGTTAGGAATCCCTGGAGTTGGAAGAGATCCACTGATCACCTCCTGGTCAGTGTGGGGGTGCCAGGGATCCACTGATCCCATCCTGGTCAGTGCTGGTGGTGGTCGGGTGCAGGGAGCTATCCCAGAGTTGTGTGGCTGGATGGATCCAGGCGTTCCCATGTCCCATCACAGAGCCTGGCAATGCCTTGAGGGATAAAATGTGAAATCCTGTCTTCCCTGTCTTGGCTAATTTTAGGTCCCTGGTAACTTCCACGTGTCGACGCACAGCGCGACGGCGCAGCCCCAGAACCCCGACATGACTCACATCATCCACAAGCTCTCATTTGGGGACAAGTTACAGGTGAGTCCTGAAAATTCCCTGGCTGTAGGGGAATGCAGTGAGAGTGGTTTGGTGTAAGACACTTTGGTTTTATGGCAGGGCCAATGTCAGCTCGGTCTGGAAGAGTTCACAGCTCCACCGCTTTGGGGAGGAGTGTCCAGTCACAGAGCAACTGTGCTGGTTCCTTCTGAAACTCAAAGGGCTTTTGGAAAACTGTGGGTCTCTTCCTGCAGGGAAGTACAAATGAGGATTCCTGGCTCAGCAGAACCCTGTTTTTAGTATGAACACAGCAGACAAATCTTCTCCTTAGTGGAGAAGCAGGGATGCGCTCAGGGAAGGTGTGTGCTTGCTACTGTGYTCACCACAGCACCAGCCAAGCTCTTTTTAATCCACCTCACCRTGCCCATAGAGCAGACACCTATTAGTCAAATTTGTTCTGTGAAACACAAGGCAGACTTAGCAGTGCCAATCCCCTGCTGGGAAGAAGCCGAGTGCGTGCACTTGCCCAGTGGATAGAGTTTCACCAGGTGTTGTCAAGTTATGTAATCTTACCTGATTTCCCAACCAGGACAGATTACAGCACTTCTCCAGCCTGCTTCCAAGGAGCTGCCCTCGCAGGTGGGAGTTCCACATGTGCACACCCAGCTTGAGACTCGCCCCAAACATTGCTTACCCRTAGCCTCTCTGTAATCTTCTTCCCTCAGCACAGACGTCTCATTAGTCTGCTCCTTGTACACCCACTTCCAAAACCCTTTTTCATGCTAACAAGTCTAAGCGTTGCTTTGTAGTCTTCTGATTCTGCTCCCGGCTTCTTTTAGGAAATACCTTGTGTGGGAACGGGGAAATATTAACATATAAATAAGCTTGGCTTAATGTCTGTAAAGCACACTGAGATTATGAAAAATATTAGGTGAAGTGCTGATGGGGAGTTGTGCAGGCTGCGTGGGAAATGGGCGCTGCGAGGGAGCATTGCCATTGTTTTATGGTGGAGTCCTGGATAARGCAGCTGGAGTGTGAATCAGCACAGAGGAGGAGCCTGGCTGGAAAAGCAGCAAGTGTCTTCAGTTCTGGGGGTGAGAAACCTGTCTGGCAAACGTGGAGTTGGCTCCCGATCTGGACARGCTCAGATGGGTGTTTTCAGAGTTGAGGGTAATGCTCATTGTCTCTGCACAAGACAGGAGCTCGTGGGTGCTGCTGGTCCTGCAGGCAAACAGCAGCTCAGCAGCACAGATTAAAGAAGGGTTTGTTCACCAAACAGGTGCCAGCACGGCTCAGCAGGCAGGGAGAGCAGCAAGAGTGGAGAGTTTTAAATCTGTCTAGAAACACCTTTGAATATTGCAGGCTGTCAGCAGCAAGAGTAGAGAGTTTTAAATCTAAAAACACCTTTGAATATTGCAGGCTGTCTCCACCTGCTTTGATGGAATAGATGCTTCTGTTCCTTAAAGAGGAATATATTCTATTCCTTTCTCACTCATGTCATGTGCTGGGAGTTTGTGCTTTGTAGGTTGGGACTGACTCTGCCACAATGATCCACTGAGG